GTATTGTGAAGAGGCTGAGGCATCGCATAGGTCAGAGAGTGCCTGTCCTGCTGCTAGGAGAACAGCTGCCCCTCTGCTCTCAGTAAAGGACGACAAAGGAGCCGGATGTCACAGATGGAGGTCACATGAGATCCACTCCCCCTGGCCCCAGGAGGGGCCAAGCAATGTGAACCCCAAGCAGCTGTGGTTAAGGCTTTGTGCTGGCATGGTTAGGGATGAGCTCTCAACACCACATACAAAAATCAGGGCTTCAAGCTCGGCCACCACCAGTGAGAGCTTTCTAGGACAAACCAGAGCATAAGTTTGGTGGTGGCTTCATTGGTGTGTCTTGAAAAGGACAATGTAGTTTCTAAAATGACCTACAAAAGCAGAAGGCAGCAACTCTACCATCAGCTATCCCACATTGTACAGACTATCACACATTGTCTGTGCCTCATACCCAGAGTGTCAGAATGAAGAGACGGAGGTGGGTGAGGAGGAGTAAGGACAAATTAGGAAAAAGAAAGTCTCCTACAGACATAATAACCAAAACACTCCAGGAATGACATCCTACGCAGACTTCTCATCTGTATCAACACTTGTGTGTGCATGGCATTATCTTTCGAGACATGCTGCAAATACATAAACAAATAAAATTAAAGAGAGAGAAAAACCATCTCCCCCATTACAATATCCTTTGTGTCAAGTGGAATGAGTGGTATGGGAACCCGACTATCAAAGGTCTCTTTAGTGAGGTGGGAAATCCAATACTCTGTACTATTGTTGCAATGTTCTTGTACATGGAAAATTATTTCAAAATCTAAGTTGAATTGTGTAATCTTACCAGATTTTTAAAATCTTACTGTCAGACTCTCTAAGCATACTGCATTGATGGCAATAGAGCAGCTGCTCTATCAATTTTAGTTCTATTAAGAACTCAAATTGAGGGCAAATCTTACAAAAAGGCAAAAATGAGGATTCGAATTTTTTAAAATTTCAGTTTCTGGATCACACTTCATTCCTTGACTTGTATGGCTCAACAGATGCAGAGGATCACCAGAATAGACACCAGTTCATAAGGATCTACTCCTAATCCATTCAAAAGGCAGAAATCAATTCAGAATTAACTAGTGAAGGGAACCAAAAACTCTCTACAGTAGTATTCATAAAAGTGGCTGAACAGAATATATTCCACCCTGAATAATTATGAAAAAAACTACATCCATACTCAGAATACCAGGCAGACTTCCTCAATTCTCATAATGAACTTGGCAAATTAAGCAGAATTTACCTGTTTTCTAATGGACAAGAACTTTTAACATCATCAATGTTATTTGTATGGCGCTATAATTAGTTTGCAGATCCCCTTCCTTCCCACTTTATCGCCTGAGTCAGGAGGACAGGGATTCTGACCTGCTCTCTGTGGCAGGAGAACTGGCACTCCAAGACTTCATCAAAGTCTCCCAGTTATCAGGCAGTAGGTCTAGGGCTTAAACAAACTTGTGTTGGCTCCAAGTGCAGCTAACAATGTGACTCTTGCTTAACTGATAAGTTACACTCTCTACTTCATTCCCTCAGAGTTTCTAGAACTATCACCTGTCTCAATATTAAGAGAAATATTGCATGTTTTGCATGAGGGTAAGGGAGCCTGGTCATTCAACTCCTGATTCACTCTGGTTAATATCAATTTTTTTTTAGCTTCTTAGAATGATCAATTCACTTTAGGAATGCTGTCACCAAGTGGCAAGAGGATATCATAGAAAAATTAGGCTAAAGTAAAAGGCATTAGTTTTCCCTAAGTTTCAGGAGAGTGATTCCACTCTCCAGACACCTACTATGCCACCCACAGTTTATAATCATAGCTTTACATTTTAATTAAAAGAAAAAGCAAAGCCAAAACGTTGGCAAATTTTAAATAACTTATAAATTTTAAATAAAGCCTTTTACACAAGCCTTTTCAAAATCTCTCATAATGTTGTTAAATTTTCCTATAACTGCTAAGTCTAATTACACCTAAAGCATAGGTACTGATTAGAGAGATTAATCTTTATAATTCACCCTGATTACTTACTGTCATAACCCCCAGAGTGATTTATCCTCAAATAGATGCAAGTGTTAGAACCTGTAATTCTTTTAGAAGGAGCCTCCCTTCACTCAATCATTTGTCTCTTGCCTATTTGGAGCCAGGTGAAGTCCATCTCTTTTCCATCCTGGGGTTCCATTCTCTGTGACTCTTGCCCTGGGCAATGTTGTCTAAGTCTACTCCTTTCACTTACTAACATGGGCGGCTAGCTGACAGGCAGAAAACCCACCTTCTTTTCCACCTGGTGGAAGTTATTTCCCTTGGACTTACCACTGTCTGAGGAGGAGAGGTCAACTGCCCCCCTTAAATGACCCACCTACAACTCACTGCTTCATTTTCTTCAACAGTAGCCTATGGGTAGATTATCTTAGCAACATGTACTAACTACATTCTTTAGAAACCTGAAGAAGAAACAACATCATTCACACTAAAGCACATAAAAAACAGAAAAGGTTTATAAACAAAGGCAAAGTCACTTCATTCCAGAGTTCAACAACAAATGACATTACAAATTTTAGTCACGGCCCACATTCAGAAATGGGGTCTACAGATGATCTGGTAAAAATGTAATTATAAATGTTACCTCTAACTTCAGGTAATCAAAATGTGCCCAAGTGGGAGCTGCTGTTACCATCCGAGAGGCACATTGAAGGGGAGTCCTAAAGCCAGACCACGTGAGCTCCCCTGCTCTTCTGAGTAACTTCATGCCTCACTTTTCTCATCTCTAAAATGGGAATGGTAAATAGTAGCTACCTAGCATGGTTATTGAGTAAGTACACTAAACCAATTACAGCAGTGCCTGGCACACACATAGTCAAGCACCCAACAGCCTGTATTGATTATTAGTACTACTACTTACTCTTTCTCTACTGCTCTAACTCATGACATCCATGTATTGCAAAACATGAAAAGCACACTGGCTTTATTAACCTAATTGAATCTGCTGGTCATTTCACCCAAACTGTATTTCAGTTGCTTGGAACGGCTTCTCCCAGCATGGGCAGAGCTGTGCACTGCTTTGCAGCTGCAGGGTCTCCTGTCCTGTAAGACAGCAGAGGTTTCTTTGACATAGGCATGGCATCTGAGCAGATCTCAACTACTGTGAGACATCACTCTCTGCGTCAAAGAGATGAGAGGTTTTACAGAGGAGGGTGGGCTGGGCTGTGACCCAGAGGATACAGAGTTGGAATGCACAGTCTTCCACTCAGATCCACGGGCTGGGTGGGACCAAGGGATCCTGGCCCAGTGTGTGGCAGGTGCCAGGACCATGTGTGATGCAAAAGGTGAGGGACCATGGGGAGAATGTGACCACATAAGGTGACATGGGGAGGGTATGACAACGGACATGTGGACTGGCACTATGAGAGCACAGCTCTGTTGTCAGCCATGACCACGTGGGGCCGCCATCCCCTCTTCACCATTCCTCTCTTAGCACCACAGTGACAGCAGAGGTGGGGTGGCCTGGCTGCACTTTCAGCTCTTCTCCTGCACTCGCAAGCTCCCTGGCAGACATGTTATGGAGTGGAAAGTGTTCGAGGGCACCCAGCAAGTAGGAATTGCAAGTGTGGATTTACACAATTCACATCACCCCAACATCTATGTCCAGGTATATACTACCTTGAGGAAAAAAAAAAAGGCCTAGCAATTTTCAGCATATTTTCTTTATGACATACATACACTGTAATTTCACAGATGCTTAATTTACACGGACATATCAAAATTTGAGAGGGCCAGGGAAGGGGTCACAGACTGCCTTAAGAATCTGGTAAAAACTGTAGGCTTTCCCTCTGACCCTGAGAAACTGAACATAAACATATACACTGATGTGGCCTATGAAGGAATAACCCATCTTGTAATGGCCAAGCCTGGAGACCCTTGAAAGCATGGACCCAGCTTATGAATTTCTTTTCAACTGCTTTCTGTCCAGATCTTCAAAAGGCAGGAAAGACAGTGTTATGGCTTTAAGCCTCTTTAACACATAGCTTCGGTGCCAAGTACTTCAAGGTCTCCAAATACTTAAATACACACTGTCCAGAAATGCCAAGAAAATCCCTTGTACGGTCAAGTATGTCATTCTTGTTTACAATATGAGAATTTGTAGCATGCTTATTTGGTAATTTACCTACTTTATCATTAGATACCTCATGGTGATAGTTTTCTTTCCAAAAGAAAGGGGCACATACCCAGAGGGAGAGGAAGGGAGGCAGTAACCTGCTCGGCGTCAGGGCTCCATACTCCCGAGGGATGTGAGTCAGGGCACCAAAGGGGTGTGCGGATTCGGTGGGAGGGTGGGGAACAGATGAAGTGAGCCAGCTGTACGTACTGCTCGAGAAGAAGGGTGACATATTTCAAAAGGATGCTTCATGCATGGCCAGCAGGGGAGGGAGCTACTGCTCAGAAAGGCCATAAGACAAGAGGTGAGGTTTGTTAATCCTTTTAAAACTAAAGTACTGTCAAGTTTGTCCTTTTTTTGAGTACCAGAAGAACCAGAAGATGCAGACTCTTTCGGACCTACAAATAATTAGGGAGAGGAAAAAGTGCACGGTGGCAGAAAGCCTTATGAAAAACAATTGTGTTGGTTCAGATGAAACTGAGTTAGAGAGAAAAAAAGAGGAATGGGGGTTGGGTAGAAGGAGAAGATTAGAAATTTCACAGGAGTGGCTCTCATTTGGACCTGTGTAGTGTTTGCTGTGGAACTGTTTGCACACATCTTCCCATGAACAACCACAATCTGGTGCTTCTGGAAAAACATCTGGGACAAATACCAAGCCATGCTTGTCTAATTACAAACCAAACTGAGCATAAGTACACTGCAACATTCCTCATGTTTTTCCAAGTACTGACGAAATTCATGACCCATTTGCACCATCACAGACATGTTACCTGAGTTCTTTACACTGTATAGTCATTAAGAACACAGGGAGACAACTTCACTTACATGGTTAATGAAGAGGCTCTTGCGTTTTTCTCTCACTGTGAAAACAAAAGATGCGACAAAAATGTTACATACCCGCATGCCAACCCCTTGCAGGTTGCTGAGGACTAAGTCTCTGTGTGATGGTCCCATCCTTCCATCAACCAGTATACCCAGTTATTCAAGAACTATATCTAAGAATATATGGCCTCACACATACTGACCTGAACTTGGCTAACAGCGGTAACATTTATACACACCCACTTAAACCATAGCTCCCCAACTGCAGCCACCATTAACTGTGGGATAACAGCTTCCCAGGAACTGAGTAAAATAGAATTCATCTTACAAAACTTGTATGCATTCACTGATTTAAGATGATTAACAAGTAATAGGACTATTGATTTGTAGCCCAACCAGACCCATAAAGATGCATACAATTTGGGTGACATAAAGTGACCCTTGACATAAAAAAATCCCAGAGCAGCACTGAGACACGGGATGGATCAAGCACATCAGAGGTCTCATTCATCACGGGAGCCAGACCTCTCCAGGCTGGGTGCTGGTGCACAAGACTGGGCATCTGCTTAGGCCCCTCCCAGAGCACCAGCAGCACCCTCTCACTCCAGGTGGCTAGCAGACTTGCTGTGAAACATACTGCCCTGTCTGAAAGACTGCTCCTCACACTGCCACCCATGCACCTTTTCCTGGCATTGATTTTGTTTTGTTTACTTTCTCTGTCATAAATCATAGCCATGAGTACAACTATATTTTGAGTGCCGATGCCCTCTGAAACTGGGAGTGGTGGTGAGGGCCCCCAGCACAGCTGCCATGCAGAGGAGAATGAAGGGCAAAGGAGTGATGGGGAGAAGGTAGGTGCTTCCTTAGTTCATAAAGGCTTTCAGTCTCCAGTTCCAAGGACTCATAAGGTTTCTAAGATACCCTGGTACCCTACAGTGAATGATTCCTTTCCCCTTAAGCAAGCTGGAACAGGACCATGGGGGGAAATACAATAACAATAAGTGGAATCTCTTACACTAGTGCCACCAAAAAGATGGATAAAATTACCTAAATCAAATTTGTCTTTAAAATAAATTTGAAACCACTGAAGCAACTAAAGAGCCCTGAAACTCTAAACTCTTTTAGCCATATTTTGATACAAAATGCCCACTCAGTTATGATATTTGGTTTTAGATATTTTTTTTTACTTTTTTTAAATTCATTTTATCATTAATCTACAAATACATGAAGAACATTATGGTTACTAGATTCCCCCCTTCACCAAGTCCCTCCCCACAAAACCCATTGTGGACAGAGTCACTGTCCATCACCATAGTAAGAAGCTGCAGACTCACTACTTCTCTGTGCTGTACTGCCTTCCCCATGCCCCCACCATGTTATGTGTACTCATTGTAATGCCCCTTAATCCCCTTATCCGCCCCTTCCCACCCATACTCTCCAGTCCCTTTCCCTTTGGTAACTGTTAGTTCATTCTTGGGTTCTGTGATTCTGCTGCTGTTTTGTTCCTTCAGTATTTCTTTGTTCTTATACTCTACAGATGAGAGAAATCATTTGGTACTTGTCTTTCTCCGCCTGGCTTATTTCACTGATCAGAACACCCTCTAGCTCCATCCATGTTGTTGGAAATGGTAGGATTTGTTTTCTTCTTATGGCTGAATAATATTCCATTGTGCATATATACCACTTCTTCTTTATCCATTCATCTATTGATGGACACTTAGGTTGCTTCCATTTGTTGCCTATTGTAAATACTACTGCAATAAACATAGGGGTGCATCTATCTTTTTCAAACTGGAGTGCTGCATTCTTAGGGTAAATTCCTAGGAGTGGAATTCCTGGGTCAAATGGTAAGTCTATTTTGAGCATTTTGAGGAACCTCCATACTGCTTTCCACAATGGTTGAACTAACTTACATTCCCACCAGGAGCGTAGGAGGGTTCACCTTTCTCCAAAACCTCGCCAACATTTGTTGTTGTTTGTCTTTTGGATGGTGGTGATCCTTACTGGTGTGAGGTGATATCTCATGGTGGTTTTACAAGCAATGTGGAGCATCTTTTCATGTGTCTGTTAGCCATCTGAATTTCTTCTTTGGAGAACTGTCTGTTCAGCTCCTCAGCAGATTTTTTAATTGGATTGCTCACTTTTTGTTTGTTGGGGAGCATGAGCTCTTTATATATTTTGGATGTCAGCCCTGTATCATATCTGTCATTTATGAATATATTCTCCCACACAGTAGGGTACATTTCTGTTCCATTGATGGTGTCCTTTGCTGTACAGAAGATTTTCAGCTTGATATAGTCCAACTTGTTCATTTTTACTTTTGTTTTCCTTGCCCGGGGAGATATGATCATGAAGAAGTCACTCATGTTTATGTCCATGAGATTTTGCCTATGTTTTTTTCTAAGAGTTTTACGGTTTCATGACTTACATTCAGATCTTTGATCCATTTCAAATTTAATTTTGTGTATGGGGTTAG